GAATAATTTTACAACACACCCACAATAACGACGTTGTCTGCTTTGATGGATGGGTGGACGAAGGAGAAAATGGATGCGTGAGAAATTTTGCACTTTATTAGCTTTAGTGTGTCGTACTTCATTTGGACTGCGTGGGGACAATGGTTAACTGTGCACACTGCAAGGGATACACCTTCACTTTTTTTTTCCAGCTGGGGTGTTGCCGGATACTGATGTTATGAGAATAGACGATTCACAAGCTGTGGAAATAATCTGAAATTTGTAGTCTTGGAAAGGAAATTTCAGATGAATTTAAAACAAGACGTCTTGTATTGTCATCTGACACATCTTTGTGATTTCGTTTCAAGCCCCCAGCACTACGAATGCGACGCCGATGTTTGAAGTAATAAAAACACATTTCATCAACCACTAATTTTTCATGAACAGCTGTTTTGCGAATGACAGAAGATAAAACGTTGTTACTACTGATGGAAAAAAAGATAATCAGTAATTACATTCAACGCGATTGCAGTTTCGTAACTGATTTATATATCTGGTGTACGTGACCATCCTTAGGTCAATGAATCTTAAACATTGTAATTAATCAAGAATTAATCTTGAACTAAAAAAATGTATGTGGTATTGTACACATTCATTCGACGAAGTGATTCGACTTCTGTTAAAATGCACTTGTCATTTGAGAAACTCTTCACGCTCATAAAATGCACTTTTAAATTACAGTGATATAATTTCAACGCTGTAAGTATACTTGATAAATGGTTACATGTGTATTTCTGTTCGAAGGGGCGAAACCGATGTGCACCTTACATGTGACCAAATATATAACCGATACAGTTATTTTAATTCAAACATGCAATTCATATAGACTTTGCTTGTACGGAGATGTGAGAAAGTTTACGGAAGAAATGGTGAGTCACAAGAATTGTGCTATGGTTGGAGGCATGGCATTGCAGGTCTTTATGAACTGGTATATTACTATTGTAAATATTTGAAGTATGCTTCTCAGGAAGGTATGGAATAGTATAAAATATATAATTTTGGTGCAGTGCAGTAAGTACATAAGTCTTTATTGTTTTAATGTTTGTATATGGTGTGAGCTGTGCTAAAAAATAAATTTTTCATAAAAATGAAGCAAATTTTATAATCCCACAAGCAGATATGCTAATTTCTTGACCAGAAGAGAACTGATTTAAGTGGAAAATATGATTTGAGTCCTCCAGCATGCCACATTCCAGGGCACATTGTTCATATTTTATTTTATTTTGTTGGCATAGGTGACTCAAATCATATTCTGCTCTTTTACTGAAAGCCTAAGAAATAAGTTGTTCAGTTATTGTGAGGTTGAATTACATATCCCCTGAAAGTTGTGACAGTTATAGCACAATTGTGATGCATTCTACAAGGAAAGTAGAATCTACTCTGTCACTTTTAATTTAATTTTAGCTTTTTTTTTTAATTTTGTGTTGGATTTAGTAATCCTAAGTAAAACAAGTTTTGTCAGAAGTTTGGCTGTTGATAATGTCAAATCAGGCTTGATTACACGGTTACTGTTGTAAACTAGTTCTGTTTCTATTTCTCATAATTCACATTTTAGCACTGAAAACAAACATCAGCTAGTAAATATGACATGTTTTCAAGCAGTTTTTTTATACCATAGTGTCTCTACCACATTAAGCTTGACTTTGTACTTTCATCATCTTGTTTAATATGTTGTTACAAATTATGTTACAGAAACTAGAGGATGAAACCACTCTTCATTGTCTCCACACTGGGGGCATTATTTTTGGCTGTGATTTACCTGTCAGAATGGTTATCAACATTTCTTATTATTGGTGGAATATTTGTAATTGCTGTAGGGTTGGCAATCCTGGTTACTGCACATTTGTCCCTTGTAACAAGATCAACTTCTTCAATTATATATACAAAGCCAACACCTGAACTTGAAGCTATGCATAAGTATCTGACAGTGAGTACTATTGTTATGAGTGGAAGGGTTTATTCCACTGGAGTTTATTTATTTATTCCCCCCCCCCCAAATGTGTTATTTGTTATTTTGCCCATCATACTCATCCTTTCATCTACTGAATTTTTGTTACCATTCACCATATTGTTGTTTATTCAGTACTGCCTTGTCAGGATGCATATTGCCATCCCTTGAACTTTGTGGGGTACCTCATATGTCATCACTGTCTGATGTCAGACATGTTTCCTGTTACAAGAATTTCCTGTGTCCCAAATTTTTGTTACCATTTGATGTATTGTTGTTTTGTTTGGTACTGTCTTGACAAGATGTGCAATGATAAATGCTTCATGAACAGCAACAAAAGATTCTGATGTGAAGTAATATTTGAGAATGAACAAATCTTCTCATGAATGTACTATATTTTCATGTGCACAATTTTTGTACAAGTGGTGAGCAGCAGCTAGCAGCCAGGGTGACCTTGGCTCTAGTATCATGGGGGGAGGTGTGGACCTGCTGCTGATGTTATTTTTGTATTCTAGTCCATAATTGTTGTTAAGTTGTGTTTTAAATTGTACACTCTGTTTTTTCAAGTTGATTACGTAAGAATAAGATTATATCGGATATGTGGCACATATAGTAAGTATAATAAGTGATGCCAAATTTTTGTATTAGTGCTCCAATGGAAGAGACAACTTTGGGGATAAGGCTCAGGGGTAAGGATAATATGAAAATTAGTGTTAAGGAAATAGTGTTGAAGGAATGATCTGGATTCAGTTGTCTGAGGATAAGGTACAGCCTTTTGTGAAATGGTGATGAACATTTGGGTTCCATAAAAGTAGGGAATTTCTTGACCAGTTGAGTAACATATGACTGTGTAATGTGGAGTTAGTTAGGTTTGTTTTATTTACCAAATTTTTGATCAGTGTTATATTAGGTAGCATAGTTTAATTTAGATGTAGTTAGATGAGCAATCAGTATTTAAAGACTAGCTTTATCAAGTAGAATGTAGGAGGTAGATATCCTTTCCTTGCATCTGAAAAGAGGCATATGTTTATAGATCAAGTGCTAGGATATATTACAGTTTATCAACCTTGAAAATTTTTAAAATGACTGTATTTTTTTGCAAACAGAAACAGAAATAGATACCAGTGAATGGTGTATGAGTGTTTTTTGATTAAATATTCCTTTCACTCTTACAGGAACTGGAACCCAAACTTGATGGGTCTGTCAGATTACCAGTTATATTTGGAAGGATGATTGATGGCATACTGCAACAGTTGCTGGACCTGATTCTTCGGGATTATGTTGGGGCTTGGTGCAATGAGGCAGGCTTCAAATCTGATGAACTGATTCAAGACCTAAAGTAAATCTTCATGTACTCAAATTCTGTGGTGTAGGATTTTCCTTAGAAAGTTTGTGTTTTTACTCAACTGATCAAGATATTCCCCACTTTTTTAAAAGTTGAAGGTTCATTACCATCTTCACAAAATCCTACTAGTACCTGTTGAATAATGGTATAGTTCATTGAAATACCCTGTGGCTTCCTGCTCACTTATTTATGTTTCCATCTCATTCAGCTCTCTATAACTTTAGTTGAAACAGTGGTTCTCTTTATTTCTAGGGTTGACTTGTGGCATGTAACAAAGAATCTGCAGGAAAGACTATCAAAGATAGATCAGGCAAGACTGGTTGCAGTTGACATGGTGAACGTAGTTACAAAGCATTTTGAACGAATAAGATTAGCTCAGCCATCAGCGTAAGTATAAGACAGTGGTCTTTTAGCTCAGTGGTGAGAGCGTCACTGGCCACACATGGCTGGGATTTGAACCTCAGACATCCAGTCAGACTGCTTCAAAGTACTCACATGAAAATATTTATTTTGTATTTATTTTAAGCCAGTTTAATAATACACTTTTGAGCAGTGGTGTGTGCCTAGGTCTCATGAAGATGGTGTAAAGGGAGGAAGTAAGAGATTGGTTGATATGCTTTCCTCGATGCTAGCTAATGGGTTGGGTCTTGGAGTTTGTGAAGACTTCCTGGTTAGTCTACCCTGGTATGTACTCTGATGATGCAGGGTATATATCAGTGAATAGGATTTGAGGTTCTCAAGGCAGTGAGTAGGTAGATGGTTGTCTTTTGGGTTGTAGTGCTGTGTTGTCTGGTAGAAGTTTACCAATGTTTTGGAGGTACTTGCTTCCTCCTTTATCAGTGCAGTGATGGAGGCAGCATGTACCTTTGAAACATCAGTAAACTTCTTCCACACTACACAGTACTAAGTCCAGCAAGCCATATTCAGAACTGTGAATGTTTACTGTACCAAACAATAGCCATCCTTTTACAAAAAATAATTTATGCCAGTGTAAAATGTTCATAATTAAATATGGAATATGGTGAAAGTAAAATTTCCCTTCTGTGACTGTTTAACTGTGATGAATGTTCAGGGCCAAAGTCACTTGAATCTGCATTCATTTACAAAATTATAACTTGTTGTTAAGTTTTACATAGGATTTTAATTGATGATAAAAAATGTTGGTGTGCTGTTGGTTGTAACTTTGTAACTAGCAGTGCACTCAAGATAAATTAGGCATCACACCATAAAGGTGGCATAGAGAGGAAACAGTTTCCTAAATCTTTTAACTAGTCTGTTTCACACTCTAGCCACTTCTTCTCCCAAGAAAGAGCCTCTGGTACACATTTAATAGTTGGTAGGAAACTGGGTTGGCTGCAGAGCTGTTATGGATGTGGTGGTTAAGAGGAAAGTTCCTGCTACTTGCCAGGAAGTAAACCTCAGCCATCCAGCTCATAGCTGTTCTGTTCATGGCTGAGAACACTCTAAATATTGTATGGGACTCCCAATAACATTTCACGTTTCCGAAGTCACAAATGTTATCAGTAACTTCTGTGTCTTTCACATTAGAACAGATGGGAAGCTGGTAGAATTTAACCTCTCTACACATCTGACATCATCAGCTAGAGAACGAGATTACTTGCGCAGGGTGTCAGAGCGATGCATTGCTCTTCTTTTTCCACCAAACTATATACAGAACAGTCCAGTCAAACATTTACTGCGTGAAATTCTAGCATGTAAAGGTATGGGTTATATTATATTTATATAGAATGCAAAGTATGTAAGTGTCTCTTTTCGATCATGAGAATGTCTAATGTGAAATATATGTAACAGGACAAATATGATATTATCCTGTTGGCCAATAATGTCACCAGGTTGTGAAACATCCTTTTTACAAAAATTTCCCCATCACATTAAAAGCAATTACATTTTAGTGATGGTTGATCAATTGAATGTGGGTATTGTTCTTTTATAGATGCAAGTACTATTGATTGTATCTGGTTGAGGATCATGATCTTCTGGGCTATGATGCTATGTGGTCTTGTAGGTGGATGCACTGTGTTCCTCTAAAACATTGATAGTCACCTGTAAGACTGTATGGTGTCATAACCCAGCAGACAATAATTCTTATTTTCACCCCCAAATTTGAAATATATCTGGTTATTGATGTCCATGTTAACCTTGTACAGAATTACTAGGATACTACATTAAGCCATTCATACTTCTGGCACTAACAAATTATTTCTTATGTGTTTTACACTTCACATAGTATTGCAGGTAGAGAATCCTTAAACTTTATGTTGAAATTTAAATGTCTACTCTTCTTTGCACACTGGTCATTTCAATTTTAGTGACACCATTTTTATATGTTGACTTCACATAAATATGTTTTTGTATGCTTTATTTGTTCATAAGTGATACTGAATGAAATTGCTCAAACATTTAACAATAAAGTGTCTTATGCTGCTGTTCTTAAGGTAAAAAATTTCATTATGCTAATAGTACTGGTCAGTTACACATAACAGACTCACATGTAGTATCATTTTTTTATTGTGGTCAGTTGTGCCCCATTGCAAGGATGAGCTAAGTTTATAGACTTCTCATTGTATGTATGTATGTACATACATGCATGTGCACATGTCTCCCCATACACACACACAAGCAGAAATATGTGTTTGCATATGAACGTAAGGTTTGTTCATAGCCCTCAACATTAATCCAGAAAATTATATTTTATGGTTGCACAGTTTTATGTGTTTTAAGATGTGACTTTTGATTTGGTTTCAGTGTTTTATCCAGTCATTAACATCATGACTGACCCAGATTCTATTAATCAGAAAATTCTAACATACATTCAACAGCAACCAGAGTCGGAGACTCTTCGCAAGAAAACATACGCATATGCTGCAAGTTTTGAAGATTTTATAAAAATGATCAAAGATTCTAATGATACCGAGGTACTTAAACATATCCGGTATGTGCATTCTTATACCTGGCTTGTTAAAATAATTGTTTATTTCTAGAGAGTGATAAATAATATAAGCAGAGTTCTGGTGTAACCTAACTGAACCTAAACTCACTGAACCTAATCTAACCCAACCTAACCTAACCTTTACATACCTGTCTTAATTTAACCCTAAACATGAACATAAAGCTTAACCTAATTAACCTAAACATTACCTAATTTAACTGAACCTTCACAAAACCTAAACCTAAACTTAAAGATAACTCATACCTAACTTGAACTTAAACGTAAATCTAACCTAAACTATCCTACCCACCTAACATAACCAAACCCAATTTATCGAGACCAGACCTGAACAAACCTACCTCAATCTGATCTGACCTAACATAACCTAACATAACCTATCCTGAGCTAACCTCACCATTTTCCTTCCAGTTGTGTCCATTCCAGCATAAAAGTTTAGCCTCTCTTCCTGGATGGTAGTCATTCCAGTCTTGTTCCCTGATTTTTGTTCTCATAAATATACAAATATTACTTGTGACCCTTATTTTTTCTTCCTTTTTGATGTTATCTGGTTTGTGTTCACTCAATCAGTTTCATTTATCTTCTTTTCTCCCTTTTGTTACTTCCATACCACCACAAGATTTCATCCTTTTTCCTTCACTCACATTCAAGTTTGGTTCTTCTGGTGCTGCGGCAACTCATTATACCTACTCAATTCTAGATTTTCCGCTTCTAAATTTTTGCTGTTGCTGCCAATTGTTTTCTTTTAATTTACTGTGAAAATTAGATTGAAATAAATTCTCATAACCAATGTCTGTTTTCACCCCTTTGCCACACCTTTTTAATTTCACTGTGTCCTGATGGTATCTGACAAGTTCTTCTAAAAGTCCTTTATACACTCTGTTGTATTAAGTGCAGCAAGAGATATTATATTCTACTTCATTGGATGTGGTAAGGGGTTAAAATTTATTGCAATTTAAAATGTTGAATGATTGACTGTCCAGAAGAATTGTATTGGTGAATCACATTTAAATTTGAGGACTGTGTGGTTTTGCAAACATTGAGGGAAGAGCAATTTGAAATGTTATGTAGAATTTTAAGTAATTATATTGTCAACTGTCATGGCTGTAATTTGAAACCAAATGCCATATTGTGCGGTTAGCATGCCATCTCACCCTATTTTTTCTTTCCAAATTGAGATTTAGATATGGACATCAGCTGGCAAGACTGATGTCTCATGGTTTTTCTCAGTCCTTCCAGGAAAATTCTGGAATACTACCTTAAATTCCTGATGCTATATAATATTTAAAGTTTAAATGTGTCATGTTTGTGTTTTATAATTAAAATATATAATATAATTCAGGTCTATACACAAACTTTATTTACAGATGTTAAAATTTAAAATTTGCGCTATTCATCGTTACTACGATGTTACAATACTGCATTGTAATATAAAGTAGTTTTAAAGGAAAAACCTGAAGATGATGCTACGCATCGAAACATGTAGTAAATGAAGGCGCAGTATTGTAACATCGTAGTAACGATGAATAGCGCAAATTTTAAATTTTAACATCTCTAAATAAAGTTTGTGTATAGACCTGAATTATATTATATATTTTAGCTATATAATATATTCAGTTCAGACAGAATAGTTACATGAACCAGGAAACAAAACAGGTCTGTATTTGCAAATTATGTACATTGTTTATTCATATTTAATCATTTCTTTGTTATTTTATTTTATTATAGATACAACATTGTTACTGAAATAATGCAAGCAACAACTATCCACAATTTGAAAAAGTCTAAAGGGTTGAACCCCGACAAAGAAGTGTTCTCCTTCGGTACAGGAAAGGGTGATATGCTTCAGGTGATTTGTAATCAAGATTGTTACTCTTATTAATATGATTTTTAAGGTTATCACGTGCTATAGTGGGATTAGCCACATTAATGTAATTTGTTAGTGTTTTATCCTTAATTTTCGTATCCATGTTGTTTAGGTGTGTGTTCTATTTTAATAAATGTGGTATATGTGTTGATTTCAGGCCCGACAAGTGAAGAGGTATATTAATCAATTGACATATGCGAAATGCCAATGTGAGAATCGGTTACGTCTACTGGGTTGGATGGGTTATCCTGTAGAGGAAGCAGTTGAAGCTAGTACAATGATCACTAGGAAGGTAATCAGTGAGTTATGCAAAATTGCAAAGAATGTATGTATGTATATTCCAGACCAGGTTTTTTCAACTGATGTGCTTCGAAGGAAGGTCCAGCCACTGGAGAATCCAGGCATGCTGTTTCTCAGTTAGTGTACTGTGTGTAATTTTTAACTTTGGTTTGTTGCATACGTTTGTAAGGTAATAGTACTGAGTTCTTGTTCAGTTGTGTTTTGTCACCTCATTGCACTGTGCTATTTTGTGTGTTAAATTGTTGTAGCTCCAGCATACTCATATTTATAATTTCTTTATATGTGTTACATTCTGTGTTTTTTGTGGATAGCCATTTTTAGTCAAAACATTGTTATTTTTGTCCTTTATTACTCATTCCTAATATATTACTTTGTTAAACTTTTTGACTTTAATGAATAATACCAAACAAATATGTGACTGTAAAATATAAGGACATACGAAGGATAATATTAACACGGCTTGTGCATACATAAAACTTTACATTAACTTATTACAACTTATTTGGTTTGGTGTGAGATTTGAAGTTTATTATACTAACATCACTTGAGCGTAATAAACATTTCCCCAGATTTAGATTACATGTTTCAACTTGTATATTATAAACAATCATATGAATTATTTTTCTAGATATTAACACTGCCAGAAGTGTTGGAGAGCGTGGTTGGTCGCAGATATCTGACACAGTTCCTGGAACAGATTGGCAGTGCATCTTTGATGGGCTATTGGAGTGCAGTGGAGGAACTTCGCCAGTCTGACCGCTTTCATTGGCATCAACTTGGAGCGGAGATATTCTATACATACATAAATACACCATCTCCAGACATCAGAGTAGATAAGGTTACTTCTCTTTCCAATCCAAGCAGTGTGCTGTCTGAACAGGGAATTGACTCAGCATAAACGCCATAATGTCATGCTGAATCCTGTCCTAAAACATGTATCCTTACTAAAAATGTTCCCACTATTGGAGCAATCTGTATATTTACTATGGGTGACAGGACTAGTAAACTAAATTTTATTATATAAACTGTGTAATACTAAAAATACAGGAATGAGGCAGAACTCCAGAAAGTGAGGAAACTAGTGGAGAATTGAGAGTCAGTAGATGTTTCTATACTGTATACTTGAACTACACTTTCATTCTGTGAGTTCCATTCATCTGTTCCAAGTAAGAGGGTAACTTTCTTTGAAATAAGTCATATAGTTTAATGTATGATACCAGTATTAATTGATTGTGACAGACTGTTTCCCTGGTTTATTTTAAATTCCCAAATAAGATTAATTGTGTTGACAGTTTCAACACAAGATAAGACCAGGTGGGATATTGGTACTGTAACTGCTAGATTGTAATGTCTGTATACTACTTTGAATATTTCAGCCAGTTTTGAAGAAAATGGAAGGCTTTCTTCTGGGAGACAAAGGTCCTGAAGTTTTCTATGAAGTTCAGGAAGAAGTAATAAAAACCCTTGAAGAGAAATTTTATCCTTCATTCATTGTTTCTGATCTTTATCAGAAGATGCAGACAGCCATGGAAGAGGCCAGCAACTCAGAGAAAGATGATCCAGGTATTTTTCTATTTAAGTGTATTTAACATAATTTAACTTATATTTTGTTGTGGCTAATTATCTAGTTATGGCCTTATTGAACTCCTTGGTCTCTGCCTGTATTAATAGTGGAAAAGAAGTTTTAAGATGACGTACGAACTGAATGGAATTGGCTGCTCCCTAGTGACTTGGTGTTACTCACATCCACAAAATTTTGTGATTGTCATAGGTGAGGCATTAGAAAAGGGACGGAATACCATGCGCTGGTTTCGAGCTGATCTGAAACCAGAAACCCTAAGCATATATGTTCAGAGCCTTAAAGTGTGCATAAGTGTTGATGTAATGTGTTTATATTTGTCCACAATTAGGTATTGTATTGATTTATTGTAATAGTAAATGTGACTTCATTTATAGCTGAATCACAGCCGATGTTTGACAGCTCAGGATTAGGAAGGGAGAACTCAACACTTCACGTTGTTGACCAGTCTAATTATGCCAGGCGGAAACTTGATCAATTACAAGAGAAACTGAACAATAAAATGCAGGTTCGTTGAGTGAATACTTTTGTTGCATTCATTGTCCTAGTAAAAGTGTAGTAAATTGGAGATCATATTCTTCAAACAAAAGAGGAAAAGAATGCTATAATATTATTGTCCGTAAAGTATGAAAGATCTGACTGAAGATTCATTGGACTGTATCTGTAGCCAAGCTGTGTATCCCCAGATGCAGTTGTCTTTAAATATTGGTATTTCAATTACATTTCCTTCAAGTTGTATAAACTGTTTTCAATTGATTCCATACTGTAATGCTGATAACTGACTATGACAGAATTAAACAAGTCAAATATTGCAATTCAGAAGTTACTACTCCCTCATATCTGGGAGGAAAGTGTTGAGATCAAGGAGCCACTTTGTTACAAGTGCTCAATAAAATTTATCATAATTGCTCTTTATATTGTACCCATGTTAACTTTTTAGGGATGCTATTTCAAATGCAGTTGTATTTGTATACCTACAATTTAAAAGATTATAGTAGCTGTCACCTAATTGCATATTGCATGCTTCAAGGCCACAGAAGGACTTACACCCCCACATCACATGCATCTAAGTCACCAGTACAGCTTTGCTGTTCTGCAAGTTCTGAGCTGTCTTCACTTGTCTGGGTTTCGCTGTCTGTGTTGCAGTGTTGTACAAATTTTCTCTGACCTTCAAAGTTGCAACTTGTTGATGGCTGTGTAGGTCTGCAACAGAGGTGCACTTAGAATACAAGGTTGTTAGACATGGCATGTAGAACATGTTTGACCATTATCTCCTTTTTTAGTTTTGGCACTAGGACCAGTATTTTATTCAATTCTTCAGTAATTAATCAGGGAGGAAGGCCTGCTGTATATCATTATTTACTCTGATTCTTGAAGACCCTGAAGTATGTATTTAAATGCAATCAAGTGGTTTTGCATCACATCTGTGTAGGTAATTGTATCTTTTCCAAACAACAAACAAGTAGTAAGGGATTCCAGTAAACAAATAAAAATAATAAGTAACATTTCAAAATGTCCCTGAGGCTGATCTTTGTTGTTTTCCTCAGTATCACCAAGCAGATATGGGAATATGATAGGCTGTAGCCACTTCCTTCCAAATTCATTATTAAGAATCAGCCTTTCATTTACACTTTTTGACAGATTATTAAAGACAAACTTTGTGATCACAAGATGAGGTGTGTTTAAAATGCCTTGTATTTTATTTGAAACAGGCTCTACAAGCCTTAAGGACATCATTGAAGCCAGAATCCAGAGTACTTGTAGTCCTGGAGAAGGAAGTGGAGCAACTACAAGGGGAAAAGTGTCAGTTAGAAGCACACCTCACCCGGACAGAGGCCTGGGGTGAGCATTTGGGGCAGTGGAGAGCTGTTGTACAGTCAGCAGAGGTAGAGATATATTTTTTAGCTTACCATTATTTATTTACAAGTTTTCCTCATATGTGTGCATTAGTTCTGAAATCTGTTATGAGTATCATGCTACTTGAGGCTACCTTATCTTGTATTTTCAGAATTTATGCAATCAGTAACACCAAGATGGTTATATGAACATTTGAAGTGGGAGCATTATTTTTGGCACTTAATGTAATATCCCAAAATGTTGTGTTAATATGCTGTTGAAAATAACTTGTGCTGAGGTCAAATTTTCACAGAATATAAAACAACATGGTAACTATGCAATATCTGTATAGTAGTTGCCAGATGTCTTGGGAGCTGTGCTCCCTAGTTCCGTGCCCGTGTTGGATTTGGCATGGCCAGGTAAAGATAGATGTGCATGCAAACCCATGCATACCTACACACATACATACACAGGCATACACGTACATATGCGCGCGCGCACACACACGTGTGTGTGTGTGTGTGTGCACCTTGAATAAAACCAGAGCTATTGAGGCTGTTAAATAAGTGTACAAGTAATTACACTGTGCATTTTTGAGCCAAGCTGTGGACAGCGTTCAAAGAAAATTCTCTCATAACAATACTAAACTACTGTGACAAACATTTACAGCCAAATTTACTGGATTTAGGCTTGTTTGTTTTAATTTCAAATATGGAGCACTGATTAATTACTGTCCTCCTATTCTAGTTGTCAGAAGACAAGGAATTACTGCAGTTTGTATTGGTGGTACATATTCTGGAAGATGTGTTAGATAATGAAGGAATTTCAACTGGTTGGGTTGTTTTAAGAACACTCTCTGACTTTCAGGAACTCCATCGTAAATTGTGGTAGGTGGAAACAAACCATTTTATGTCTTGTGAGGTGTGATTAAAGATTTTTCAGACAATTTTTTTTCTTGCTGCATGTAGTGACTATTTCAGGCTGTCCCTTTATTAATAGTTTTCTTCAGATCTGATGCAGTAAGTTCATTGATTAATACATTATTAGGAGTACCTCTGAAACTTTGCTGTTTTTTTAACTCTGTTTATTTTTATGGTAATCATGATGGTGATATTAAATATCTTCCCCTTGAGTTTAGTTTTGGAAACAAAAATCACATGGAGTTAGATGTGGGGAGTTCAGAGAGTAAAAGAAGCACATTTTGTAACTATAGTGTTATCATTTTGCAGCCAGTATGAAAATCTTTTCATCACACCTCATACTTTTCATGTTCTGCTTATCTTACCAATAGAAAGAACCTGCACATTTATTTTCTCTGTGAGTAACCAAGTGATCTTTCTCTGTACTGGCTAAAATTATGTTTAAGTAACAGGTTTTGATGCACAGAGATATAGAAGGTTGTAGTATTTCCCACTAACTGTTCAATGCCACAAGTATTATCTTGCAGTGTTGGTATACCATGCACAGTTAAATCAAATAAAATCATAGTCTGAGCAAAGTCTAATTCTTGGGTCACTCTAGCTAAAACATTTTATGACATTTCATTGTATTATTTACACCAGCGAATAATTCACTTACCCTAATTCTTTGCTTTGAAACTTAAAAGGGAGATGTGCATAGTACAGCTTGTTTATATTAATTTAAATTCAGAAAATATGTGAATTAATTTCAGGTTGCAAGAATGTCCATTAGTATTCCCATCCATTGCACCATGCAGTGAATAAGAATGAGGATTTATGGTACCCCTGGAAAACATTTCTGGTACCCCAAGGGGTACTGGTACCACAGTTTGAAAAGCGCTGCTTTAAGTGAATAGGCACATTTAGCAGGCAGGATGACACTGTGTTTATTGAAGTTTAGCAAGAATAATCTCTAATTTCTGTGTATGTGATCTGTGGCATGACATTGAAGACAAGAAAATGTGACATGAGACAGTGCCACTCAAAAGAAATTTGATGAGATTTACATGAATATTAGGATAATAAATACCTGAAAACTTTAAATTAAAGAAATAGTTGTCTTTTGTTGCTGCTTATCTCCATACAGGGCCTACCAATTTGGGTAAAAATAACTTTCACATATATCACAATTAGAAACTGATATTTCACTTGATGGACCATTTCCTTAATTCCTTGTGCAAAACATACTGCCAGGTTTTTCATAATGAAATTTTAGGAAGCAGAAAGTCAGTCAGGTGGTGAAAAAATTCCTTACTTTTTGTGGAACATGGAGAATTTGATTACTATGTTCACAACAGTCTGCCAGTAGACTGTATCCTAAGCCTGTTGAATCTAGTTGACACCATTACATTCTAGTTATTTAAGATTCATTTTAACAGTTTTTCATTTATGTCTAGTTCTCCCAAAAGGACTGTTTTCTTCAGTGGTTAGAACAATGCAACATTATTCTAGTAATGTGATGATTTTATTGCTTGTGATTATATTACTCAATTTCAGCCATATGAACTCAAGAGTGAAAAGTTTGGAACTTCCTTCCCAGCCACTGAAGTTTCGGTTTGGAAAAGGAACGAGTTTCCTTGAAAAGGCAAAAATGCAGATTCATAAGTATTTAAAGGTACGATCTTATTTCTATCTCTGATCTGGTTTTATTGTCTGGGTCTGTTATTTTTGTGGTGCATATTTCAGTATGGAGGACCTGTTCATTGTGTGTATATGTGTGTGTGTATATATATATATATGTGCACTGATTCAGAAGGTTTGTAAGACCTAATTATAAATTAAGAAAGCCATTTAAAGAGTTAATGAGGCTAATGTCTCCAGTTTTGGTAATTTTATAAATTTTCTGGCATCTGTCTTATCAATAGTAAAGGAGTCCTTTTTGATGTGAAGGACTTGTGATACAGACTTCTGTTCTAGATTAATATGATCAGGCTCATTATTAACATTCATTTATGATAGTTTGTCCTGGAAGATGACAGACTGAATCAAAGCGAAGCCTTGTACACCTTCTTAAGTCCAAGCTCTGCACATCTAAAGCAAGCTTCACCTTCTCCAAAGAAGTCCAAGTTCTCACTTTCAACACTCTTTAAGAGGTAAAGTAAGAATCAATAAACTTCTTGTATACAGGGAGTAGTAGTCATAAAGGTACCCCAATTTATGCATTTCTGATTTTCATATGTACTGTACCTTATCTGTATATAAATAAAAATAAATCATGCTGCATGTGACTGGTAATACAAAGCATCTACCAACAAAATTTATATTACCTCTTTCTGATGGGATAGGTGGCTCTGCCAAAAATATGATAAAAATTAATCGGTTGTGGTTGGAGTGAGTGCGTTCTTATTATAAATACAGTAGAATAAAGGTTACACTAGCTACATGTCAATTTGCATGGTATCAGTGATGAAATTGTAAATGTAAAACTGTTACAATTGTGGTGTGTAACAAATATGGATGAAGTTTTAAAATCTTTGTAGCCTTACGCACACTTCTGTAGGATAATACACTCTGAAGAGAAAGTTTTGTCAGTGACTTTTAAGGAGTCCATTAACAAAGTTTGATGGATATCATCCAAGTTATCATCGCTTAATGCCAACAGTTGACTAGAATGGTTTCTGTTTTGCATGCTTCCTGTGTCACAGAAGTGGTATGTGAGACAAAATAATATCAGTTTGTTTGACACAAGAGAATCATGAAATGTATCCCTAAACCCATTCTGGCAAGTTAAATTAGAATGAGATACCAGGTGATGTTCAACAATGAACAGTCATTGCATCTGAAAAAGGGACATCCTAGTACTACAAATGTTTGAAGACAGCTGACAGACAAGCTCGAGCGGGTCACAACATGACATGACCAGTACAGATTTTTGTATAGTCACAGCAGTAATGTTTGTTTTGTATTCCTGTTTTCTGTGCTAGTAACTGGAAGAAGCATTTCTTCTGTCCAGAGTATAGAGATTGGAGTACTTGCCAAGTGGTTACTAGTGGTTAGTGTAGCTTGTTGCTGATAGTGCATTTAAAGGAAAATGCATGAGTGGAATGAAAAGGGATTAAAGCAGTTCCTTGTTATATAAGAAGGCAAGTCATTCTAAAAGAATGTAATAGACGAACTGCCTCCTGAATACCTACCTACTCATCACAATTCACAGTCATCTATCTATACATCTCATCCAATGATAAGTAGTTATAAAGCATGATTTTGTAATGTATGAATCAATCATTAGATGACTGTAATAGTAAAACTCAGCCAGTAGACAATATTAATTTCACTGGAATGACAGGTATTTCACTCAGGAATCTAAGGGTTCATATAAGATCTGCAGACATTTATTGAGTTTCTAATGTGGCAGCAGTGCAGAGCAGATTCGTGAAGCATCCACTTCTGGTTCTGCTGCTAGAGACAGTGATGAGGAAGATGTTACGCTTCTGTTGGATGATAACGAAGTAAAGAGCCTTGTGTCCGGAGAGTCAGGCATGGATGGGATTGCAGAACCTCTGTACAACCTACTGGGAGAGGTGTTTGACCTCCATGGTGTCTTCAAGTGGCTCAGAAAAACTCTCATCACATTTGTACAGATCACATATGGCAGAACAATAAACAGGTGATACAATAGATTTATATGTGTTTTTCTGTACTTATAATGTGGAAAATATGTAGATTTTACATATACAAGAGACAAAGACTGAAGGGAAGAGGCTGGCTGAAAGATCTGGGCATAGACAGGGAGTTAAAAATGGATCTTCAAGAAATTTACATAGACTGGACCCATCTGACTCAGACCAACATGTCTGCTAACATTATTAATCTGCATTGTTTTTCTTCATGATGTTTAAGTTTTTATCCAGTAAATTAGCATAATCAACATAGATTAAGAAGTTGATGTGATATGTCTCATTCAGTTCCATTCCCTCATTGTTTGCTTGAACCTTTCTGATAGTGTATTCTAAAGCATGGTTTTAAAGTAATATACATAGTATATCCTTGTTTCAGATCATTCTGAATAGGGAATGTGTTAAGACAGATGTTTACCACTGACCTTACCGTAGGTTATATTTAAACACATTTTAATTAGACAAACTAATTTCTTGGATATACCAAATTCAGGGAGAATGCTGATTAATATTCCCTCCATCCTGAATTATAAAGTTTCTAGAAGTCTCAATAAAATTTTTGTGGCTGATTACCTGAGAAACTTTTATTGAGTTACGTTGCCACGAAAGCTTAAAATCATATTCCTAGAAGTCTGTAAACAGTTCATGTACTGTCCCATTATACTCCCATTTTTTTCTCCAGTATGTGATGAATGCTGAATATCTGATCAGTAGCTGATTGGTGTTGAAATTCACACTGATGATCCCCAGTTAACCTTGACAGAAGAATGTTAGATAAATGTTTGTCTGTGGTTGATAACTGATATTCCTCAATAATTATTACAATCTGTTGTATTGCCCTTGTTTTAAGTAGATTCCTTCCACTGCTATGGTAATTCTTCCTTTTTCTAAACATAATAAGTATGTGGATTTCAGAATATAATATTTCACCTTTAGCTTGAATCAGTTCTGCTGGAATTTGATAGGTACCCGGCAGTTTATAACATTTCAACTTTTAAATAGCAATCTCAACCTCAAAACTCTGTTACTAATGGTTCAACAGTGTGTATTTCATTCTGCCTAACATTGTTAACCTCATGTACAATCAGCAGCTGACAAACGTATTTCTTCCACCTGTTCAAAAGATTATGCAGAATTGCACGCAGATCACTAACTCATATTTTGCCAGTTTAGTTGTAAGTTAACCTACAGAGCAAGCCAAACTTAAATTCATCAAATAACTTTTGATGTGTACCACATCAAAATGTGTTCTTATTTTATGCACTTGATATGAATAATACGTAACAACAACTTAAATTGCAGGCAAGTGTGTGAAACAGTGAGTTGGTTGTTTTCTGAACCAATGATGTACTATTACATTAAGTTGTTAATAAAATCTTGGTGGCCAAATGGAAAGCTGATGACAGCTTCATCACCAAGGACAGAAGAAGAGAAGATGAGCACAAGGTATTGAAACATCATCATTCATTAACATTTCTAATCATCCTGTGACAAGTCTTCTCAATTCTTACCATATTTATCTGAATATCACAGGCATTCTTTTCTGAAATGTTTGCATAAAAATTAATTTGCATCATATTAGAGAATTTAACATGGATAGTGCAAAGTGTAGTTTTATTCTTGGTAACAGTGATTATTTATTCCATGTCTTCATATCTGATACTTTAAGGGAATCCTGTTGCTATCCATTCATAATGAATGCCAGTACCTCTGTATCCTTAATTTGAGAAACTTTTTTTTTTGTATCACTACTTTCAGATTTTTTGTTACCGTGTTCTTAAGAATCTGCCATTGGGCCCTATCCTGACTCAGAATGTTCAGATTTTATCTTTATAACCTCTTCCTTGAAGGTATATTTCAGTACTTATTCTCTCTAGTTCTCCCAATTGGTTCTTTCCATTGAATTTTCATTCTTATCTACATTTGTCCAGTATAACTGATGCATTATGTAGGGGAAACTTGAATCAGACTCTTATCAGTTTTCTAAAATATTCATCACTGTATGAAGGATTAGTACCTGACACAAAATGTAGTTCTGAATAAGATTTACACCTTATATTTTATGAACTTTTTTATGTGAAGAATATTTAACAAATTGTACAGAAAAAAATATTTTACATTGTTTATTCACTTTGTAAAAGTAGATTTGTATGTGCAATGTGTGAACATCAAGAGCAATGAGGAATGCAAAATGAGAGAGAATTCTCATTAATGTAAAGGTGTGATGCTCGTGAGCAGTTTCTCAACAACATTCCTGAGGTGCTGAGTAACTTGGTAGGTCAGCAGAGTGCACGAAGAGGGGCCATGAAGGTTTTTGAGACACTTCAGGATCCAAGGCTGAACAAGCAGCTCTTCTATGTAAGTTTTTCACTGCACTTTTAGGTGTTCTTCACGCGCTAGCATGAGTGAAAAACACCTTATGGGCCCTTCTATATCTTTGTGTTGCATTTTTCAGCCTACGACCTAGGCAGCCCACATGGATTTCTCAAGGGCATAGTATGGAGACCACTATGAGGGTTCCTCCTCCCTTAGGGGCTTCCCACTCAAGTTTTGCTTGTGGACTTTCACGCCTTTGTCCGCTTCAGATTGCCTCATTTTGGGGCTTGTTTTCTATAACTTTGCAGGGTGTATCTTGAAAAGTTAATAGTGCTCTATAGTCAAGAAATTACCCCTTTTATGGACCCTAAAGGTTTATTACTGTGTCCACAAGAGCCTGTCACTGGTCAGGTGAATCAAGTGTACGCTATCACACCCTGTTTCTCTTAATATCCATTTCAATATTTTCCTCCAACCTCTTCTCTTGGGGCTTTCTGACTACATGTTTGTATGCATTTCTCATTTCCATGCATAGTACATGTCCCACATATCTCATTCTTCATGATTTTATTGTGCTATTATTATACGAAGAGTACAAATTATGAAGCTCCTCTTATAATTCTGGCAATCTGTTTTCTTCCCTTGGAGAAAGAGACTGAGTTTCACATCTGTACAGAAATTACAAATATGTGTTGCAGAATATAGAATTTGCTGTTGCAGGATCTGTTTGAAATGTTGCTGTTCGAGTTATGCCCAGAGCTTAAAGACCAGTGATGAAGCACATTCCAAAATCAGACACAGTATGTATGTGTGTGTGTGTATGTGAGGGAGATTGTAAACTAAATCCATGAGAAAGATAAATTATTACTGGGTATATAGAAAAAAGATTCTGAGAAAATGTTTACAAAATAAGTGATGTATTTCTAATGCCCAGGATTTCCATATTTTGCCAAAGAATATAAATATTGCATATTCTTTCTGTGGTTTTATTATTGAATTCTGATTTAAACACCCACCTCATGCCTTCCTTCATCATTGTCTTGCTATATGCAGCACCTTGTAATTCTTAGCACTTCTGCATTCACCCGTTGTAGTAATATATTGCGCAGTTGATCCTTGTCAAATGTGGATTTCTGCAATGTGTTATTGATTGTATGTTGAAATACCCTTTATCACCATCGCTTATCAACATCCTTGTCTTTTCCATCAGAACGGGTCATCCTGAAACAAAGTCTTTTCCATTCTTCTCCCAGAAACACTTTCCTCATACCTCTTCGTTATTTCTTGCTTCTTTTGCTTTTGTTTGTTTATACCTTCCCTCACTTTGTCTTTGGTCTCTCTGATGGTTATTGTTCAGTGTTTCATTTTTGTTGCTCACAAGGGATTTGTTATCATCTATGCAAAATTATGATAAATTCTTGAGACGAATTTGATAGATGGGCAAATATTGAAATGAATTTTAGGGAACAAAGTGTGAAAATGTGGACTGAATTTAAGTGGTTCAGGAGAAGGTCCATTGTATTTTACATATGAAGTTAGTAAATATATTTAAAATGTTAACAAATTATAATACAGTATTTCATTAATTGGTATATTTAATTATGAAAATAGGTCTCAGGACAAACTTTTTTTTGTCATTTGTTTCATCTGAAATTGAGACCTTCAGTAGTTTCTTAAGTATACTAGTGTCATATGATGGTATTTACAATTATTAAATCATTTTATATTTTCCCTGATGTTTCATGAATACTGAAAAAATAAGTATGCCATTTAGAATCACGTGAAAGGTAGAGAAGATCTTGCTGAAACATATTTATAAATTTAAAGTTTAATTATTTGGTATAAAATAGACATATTTGTATGATTTACTTCATTCTTACTTTATGTAATGACACTTTCAAAAGTGCATACATTATATTATGAAGGTTGTAGGAGTTGTGGTCTATTTAAAGATACTATTGTAGCATGTGCCTGGAAGATCTGAGGAAAACTATGAAATACTTGTCAGGATAGTCAGCTTCCAGGCTAATAATTTTTTTAGCCTGTGACCATGTCATGCAGCGGGAATGTTATCATATGATAGTTGGTTATGTATGTGTGAGATATACAATTTATATAGCTGACTGGTCTGGTGATATATGCATGTGACATGTATTTAGAAGGTATCCAGTTTGAGACTTGGCTGGGGCATTCATATTTTATACTCTCAGTAGGATAAAGTTATCCTTGGTGGTTTAGTTAAAATATATGGGGGAGTGGAGGTACTGCTCTATGCATTCTTAACATTGACACCAGATGGAGGTGGGTCCACAGTTTCATGCCCCAGCTGCTTTACTCCTAGGGA